TGGAAATATTACGAAGTTAAAATGTCACATAGTTGTTCCCTAACACACACACACGCGCGGTAAATTAGATTTTAATGCAGAAACGTTATATAATTTACTTTTTTTAATAATAAACTTTATTACACTTCACTTAAACAAAAAACTAACAAATGACATATTTGGTCTGTTGTACTAATATTTGTTTTTGAGGTTGATACATAAGCGCCTCAGTTCCATAGCACATAAATCTGTCTCTAACATTTTACCTACCTCCTCCAAATCACTCTTACTCACTTGAGTACATTGTACGCACCAATAGAACACACTACAAGAATAGAAGTAGCTTCATAAAAAAATCACATACTTTTCGTTGTGCTACAGCAAGCCTTCCATTTTCAGAAGTTATCTCAACAAGTTTTTCCAGCTCTTCTGATCTGCAAAATGCAATGCAATATTCGTAATCAATTACAATGTTCAAATGAAAACTTTTAAGTATTCAGTCGTTATATTAGAGTAGAATTAATTGATGTTCACAAACCTACGTGAAGCGACAATTCTAGCAATTATTCCTAGCGTTAAGCATATGTGAAACGTTAGGTTTGTTTGTTGAAGTTAAGCACAAAGCTACACAATGGGCTATCTGTGCTCTGCCCACCACGGGTATCGAAACCCGGTTTCTAGAGTTGTAAGTCCGCAGACATACCGCTGTGCCACTGGGGGGCGCCATATTAATTAACACGTACTGACTTAACAACTAAAACAGACTTGATTTATCCCTAAAAACCCTAATTTACATTAGACCCTATACCTTTTTTTTTATAGAATTGCTTTTTTAAAAAGAGAACAACAAGGATAGACTAGAACATGCACATAAACCAACTTGAAAGTTAAAAGAAAATCCAATTTCTTTATAGGGTGAAAGTTCAAATCATACGACGAATTGCAGATATTGGTAATTCTTTCAGTACACAAAATCATACACAGTTTTGATAACGACACTGTAGAAACATCGGTTCAACGAGCTATAAACTAATAAAGAAATTTAAATATAACCTCAAAAAGAAACATAACGGCTGAAATACCATATTAAAATATACGGATTTTATTACCTCACGTGCTTTCCAGCTCCTTTACTTGTTTATACTCACCCTTCCATTAACTTTCTTTTACCACTATGTGCTGCTGTTCTTTCAATTTCGTGTAGGTAAAAGTTCGTCTACTAGTTCCTACATCACGTGCAACATCACTCAAAGATACGAGCATGAAAGTGATTTCAACCATGTAAAACGCGATGTGTGATTGGCTGCTCCAGTAAGGACTGGCCAATCAGAACAGCTGTTTCATAATACCGCTCATTCATAGTAAACAGCTAGTTTGTTTGCAATTAAGCACAAAGCTACACAGTGGGCTATCTGTGCTCTGCCCAACACGGGTATCGAAACCCGGTTTCTAGCATTGTAAGCCCGCAAACATACCGCTGTGGCACTGGGGAGGGAGGGGGGGCTCATAGTAAACAGAGGTCAATTTCGCAACTTGATGCTATATATTGATTGTTTTTGTTAATATTGTGAAAAATATTGGCCGCGGGCTTACTTGCGCAGAACTCAAACTGATATCTCACCTTATTTGCGTCATACAGTAAATTTCGAACCCTGCCTAATATACCGCTTAAAAATGTAAGCTCATCTATCTTAAATGTTCATCCAGAATTTTAAAACCTAAAAACAAAAAATTAGTACGTGTATTTCAATGAGGTTTTGATGGGAATAAAAAAAGTATACAACATAACATGGAATTTTGTTACAATAATGAAAAACAATTTTAAAATTATGGATGCAAGACAGTTTGCAGGTTGGAAGTTTAACGTATTGCTACGTCTCTGGTCGTTTGTTAATTTTCCGTAAAAATTATTTCCGAAGATACAAGTCCTTTCTTAAATAAAACTGGTTTATTCTTTCTGAATACAACTTTGCAATACACTTAATTTCCACAGTCACGCTATAACAAACGCTATAATTCACAACGAACGACTCACGTGCTCGACTCAACTATCCGTCTCTATCTCTGTCTGCAGTTCAATTACATTGTTGCCGTCACTTCTTGGCGGTCTTATATACAAGAATACCGTACATCTAGTAAACACTCGAGGCTTCACGAAGGGACAGGAATTTTCTAGAAGCTCATGACGTGTTACTAGCGTTACGTGACTTCCGCTGTCGTAACAGTATTTAATCTTTCACAGTACGGTTAGCAACCGTTCTTGCATGTACAAATAATAAATATATTGGACTACGAATAAATAGAAATAATTAGAAAACCCACACACAGTATTAAAACATAAGTTAAATATATTGAAGAGCAATTTTCTATGTAGGGTAGGAGGTATGAATTGAATCTCTTATTGCATGACATTAAATGTGCAAATTAAATTTTAATCTTGTGTTTCTTCTAGCAGTTTTTCTTTTCATTGGGCTGGATAAAGTTTTGCCCTCCCAATCTCAATGTTCCTTCCCTATATTTGTTTTACAAATTTTAAGGTATTATTTCTAGATAATGAATTATTTTGGTATGAAAAAAGCTAAGTACCCTTTAAACTCCACCAACTTAGAAATATTTGTAAAAAACAATATTGGGGAATACAACTACACGTTTTTTTTCTTTTTTTTTATACTCTTCATTGGTCCTTCAATGCCCTGTAACACATCATCAAATAAAATCCTTTTTTCTGTAACAAATTCTGAAAGAAAACCTGTTCTAGCTCTGATGTTAATGGAGAACTAATGTTCAAAATAAGCATGATACTAATCAAAAAGCATCCACGATTATAAAACTAATGTACATTATAAAAATATTTAAAATCAAAATTTTAATACACAATCAACAATAAATTAATAACTAATTATTAATGTGTAACAGCTTTCATTAGAAACTGTATCTTGGTAAAATAAAAAAAAGGAATTAAAAGTCCAATCAATTTATCTAAAAATGAACAAGACTAAATAGGACTTAACATTTGTATAAACTACAAGCATGCTTAAATTAAGATCTGTGTTCCAGTAACCTTATCTAAGGAGTTCATACTCCATACCTAAAAATTTAGTTTTTGTTGATCTGTATCGGTCAGGTAAATTTAGATATATTTTTCAAAATATCATAATTTAAAAACTTCCATTAATTTACTTTTGTTTTTATATTTAAACAGCAGGTTTCTCTAGATAGTCAACAAATTTTTTACCAGTCCATATACCATTCCTTCCTTTTCAATCACTTGATGAAACCTACACTTGTATCAATCAGTGAGAACTTACATTTTGATTTATGACTATAGAAGTTCTTAATTAAAAGCCTGACATTAAAACAAAGCAGCTTCACATAATACCAGAAAAAAACTTTTGCATAATCTATTTTGAATTTCACATTAAAGGATTTTAAGTTAAACCAAAAGATTTTAGATCTATTATCACAGGTCATGCACTACTATAAATTACTGTGGGATATAACATATGTATATATTATCTATTAGAATTATTCAGCTACAAGGAAAACTTATGATGAAACTGCAGAAAATTGTGCATTTTAAGCTATGAAACTAGTTTTTAAATAACTGAAAAGAAAGTTACCCACTATTTACAATTATAAAATAATTAATATATCAGCCTGGTTCTGAGTATACAATTTTCAAGCTACAAAATTAAATAATGAACTACTTATAAACTGTTTAAAGGCTACATTTACCAAAAGATTACACATCAAAGCCACTTATGAAAAAGGACTCGTTTTTACACAATACTCATTTAATCTGACAATTTCTCATGTGAGAATACCAAAATAACAATGAATGACTTGTCACTTATGGTAGCATATCCACAAAGGGACAGACAAATTGAAAAGGCTAACAACACTCAGCAGAAAAACATCCTAAATCAGAGCAATACTAAACTTTCATATATAATTCCTCTTATTATTACCTATCAGTTTAAACTCAGAAACGTTTCACGAATTCTGAAAAAAACATTTTCATCTCCTACAACTAAACAATCATCTTAAAGGGATATTTCCTAAAGTTCCCGTTGTCTCCTTCCGAAAAAGCAGAACTCGAAAAAGATATCCTTGTTCGCACAACAGTGAATTACATCCCTCCCAAAAATGTTTGTCGTCCATGTAATAAAGCCCGTTGTCAAACCTGCAAGTTCATGAACACCACTGACTCATTTTCTAACAAGCACAATCAAAGAAACTATAAAATATCCAAAGAAATCACTTGTGAAATAAAAACACCATTTACCTTATACGGTGTAAAAAATGCAATTACAAATATGTAGGGCATATACAAAGAACTCTTAAGAGAACGTTTCAACAACCATAAATCTTCTATTAACACCGAAAAAGATCTTGTTGCTCAACACTAACCAACCCAGTCATTCCATTAACGATGCTACTCTCATTGGCATTGAACCGGGATTCAAAACTAAAGCAGATAGAGAAATAAAAGAAGCTTATTGGATTGCTAATCTAAACACTGTTCAACCTTTCAGAATTAATCTAGAACCTGGAATCAGTGGTCTCCATTCATTGGTTTCATCTCTGTCAGAAAAATAATTTTTATTCTTTGCATATTTTTTTTCATGTAATGTGAATGCTGAATTTCCTAAAACTTACTATTTATTTTCCATACCTGTTTTTATAAATTGATTAGCATAACATATCTTTTTCAACAAGTCTCCAGGTGTCACCTTTATTTTACTTAAACACTTAAGTATAGTTTTAAGTATACATATATATTTATCCATTTCTAAAGTAAAATATCCCTACCACCTTTTCACATACACTCTCACCATCAGCTACACTTTATTGCAAATGAGATGCTTATTACAGTACATAGAGAAATAGACTAAACATTTCCTGGAAAACCGGATGACCTTCATGACGGCACTAAACTCCCTTTATACATATCACTCATTCAATTACACCACCATTCCCAGTTTGCCCCTGAAGAAGAAAGGTCCACCTTTTGAAAGTGCTGGAGATATAGGGTTTTTATTCATTTCCACAAAGGGGTAGGATAGTTATATTATTGTTACTTTCAATATAAAAAAATTAATATAGAATGTAGCTAAATTAGTCATTAAGGAATAGAAGTCCTGGAAAACAATTTTTTCAGGTCTACTTCCCTTGAAAACACTTGAGTTTAAAAAAATATATAGTCCTTTAAAAGTGCACACCTTATCTAAAATTCAAACACCTAAACAAGTAAAAAACAAGAGGAAAATTTTTAAACCCAATGCAAGACATAATGCACAAAATCATCCATGGATGTGAACATACTTAAAAGGTACTTATAAATCCCACTTGTACTTTGGTGCTTTAAACTTTATAATAGCAGTATTAAATTAGATATACCAGTGAGCATGTTTCAATAACATAATGTGAATATACTTAAAAGGTACTTATAAATCCCACTTGTACTTTGGTGCTTTAAACTTTATAATAGCAGTATTAAATTAGATATACCAGTGAGCACGTTTCAATAACATAATGTGAACAGTTAACAATTCACAGGCAATTTATTCCTTTTAGAAAGATTTAGTAAAATATGATACCATAAAAGTCCAAAAGGAAAGGATGTAGACTTGATGTACTTGGATTTTCAGAAGGCTTTTGTTAAGATGACCATTAGCTAAGAAAATCACATTGGTAAGGACAGTTGAAGACCTAATATTGGATTACAGAGTTGCTGGGTGACAGAAAGCAAAACCTTCTTACTAGTGGAGTACATCAAGGGTCAGCACTTGGTCCTTTCCTTTTTAATAACACTAATAGGAACATAATTATTAAATTGGTAAAGTATGCTGATGTCATTAAACTCTTGGATATATCTACCTGTATTAAAGATGTTGAGGCACTACAGAATGATTTGGACTGATAAGCTATACAAATAATTAAATTACCTTTAATTATAGTAAGTGCAAAGAATGCACATGGATTATGATAACTTGGGTCACACAATACAGATGGAAGCCAACTTAAAAACATGACTGAAGACAAGGATCTTGGCAAAGTGGTAGGTAAGTCATTCAAGCCATTAAGACAGTAATCTGTGCTAGTAATAGAGCTAGTAAAATTCAAGAATGTATGTTTGACACTGATAACAAATTAAGAAATAATTATCCCTCTATACCAATCAATGGCTATGCTTCGTTGGAATATCTAAGAAAGGATGTTACTAGCTTATTGGAAGGATTCAGAGGAAGGCTATATGAATTACTCCAAGATTATCTTAAGGAGATAGGGTTAAGATATCTTAATATATTTTGCAAAAAGATGGGCAAGATGTTATTTTATTGAAGTTCACAAAATTATTCATGAGACCAGTAGGATAAAGACTTCCAATTTCTTTGCTCTGTATTCCGAAGATAATATGATAAGAGAACACAAGTTTCAGACTTGGAAAAAAAAAAGACAGGCTAGTCTTCAGTTAAGATAGTTTTTTTTTCTTCAACAGAGCGATTACCTTAAGGAAATCGCTGTCTCCATCAGTAATAGTGGATGTTAAGAGAAGAAATTATGAATTATTGAGACTTTTTTTTTCTTTCTTCAAGGGCAGGTGTGCAAAGACAGTCTTTAAGGACCAAATGGTCAGTTGTTGGTCCATGTTATATTAAAATAGACAGACAGACAGATAGATAGAGAACCCTTTGGAATATACTTAGGATATGTAGAATGACAAATTAAACCACAAACATCATCCTCAGTTATGGAACACAATATTATGTAAATATCAACAGTGAACAAAGTGACAGCTTTGAAGTCAAAACTAGTATTAAGCATGGCTCCATTCTATCTTAGTACTCATTTGTATTGATACAGACTTCAAAAATCAAGATAGGAATCACATGACAAGATGGAGCTGTAATGGGAAAACAGAAGTTTGCTGATAACATCTGTTCCATAAATAACAAAATTGTTCAGCTGCAACAAAAACAACCTATTGAAATACTTACATCAAATTGAACTAGTAGTAACAAAAAGAAATAGATTATGAATCAACCATCTTCTAGAAGAAGATGGAAAAATTCATCTATATTGGCAGCCTCCTCTATGTTACCAATGGCATGAAAATAGAAAGCAAGAGCAGCTTTTCAGAAATTAAGTAACATATAGAAATAAAATGCCAAAATATTCCAAATATTGTTCTCCCAATCTTACTCTATGGATCAGATGCTTGTAAGTACAATTAAGTCAACCAAACAGAAAGGGTAGTACCAACAAATACTTAAGAAAAATCCTAGATATCAGTTAGTCTAACTTCATAATAAATTAGTTTTAATTAGAGTTGAACACAATTTCAGCAGCACAAACTGTACAAAATAGGCAATGAATGGCATAGCCTGAGAAAGAAAAGTACCAGAATCTCAAAGCAACATATTTAATGGAAACCAAAAATCATACACAAGAGGAAATCCAAAACAAATGAAAAGTGAAAGTTAAAATATCACACCTGCTGAGAGTGGAGAATAGAAGGCATTGGAGATGTCTTAGTTATGAAGTACCATCTACACAGCTAAGTAATATTTAAATAATGGAGAAAATCAATGATTAATGAAGACCTTTTTACATCCAAATGATTTCTAGAATGGTATTTTTTTAGAATATACCTTTTCCACTTATGTATATTTATCACTATCACAATTACTCATTTATCTAAAATAAACCTCTAAATATTATAGACATCACACTAATTTTCTGTTTCTGATTTATAGAAATTTTGAACTTAAGATCGAGAAGAACTCTAATGTGGTTTTTTTATAATATTGTTCAGTTTTGTTCCCATTATTACAAGGATAATTATATGCTGAAAAAAGTGTGGAGAGAACAGCTACTAGAATGATATATATTTTAAAAAATTTCAGATATGAAGGAAGATTTAAAGACTTGAATTAGCTTTCAATGAAATGTAGCACAAGAAGAACTCGGGTGTATTAATTGTTAGGGATTTGAGTAAACTGCTCACAGGAGGTATATTTGAGTAATGGAATGATAAAGTTGAAAGTAGGGATTTAAAATGAATATGAAGTTCAGAAACTACAGATTTGTTCAGAGGTAAAAGTACTTTTCCTGAGTTATAAACACAGTTTGCCACTACTTCACCCCCTGTAGATTGAATTTAAGCTAGCTTCAATTATTTAAAAAAATTTTGGTTTATGTTTATGGATGAGAATTGTCATATTGGTTGATCAAACAGCAGAGTTGGCATTTACAGGCCAAAACCAAATGTTCAAAATTCATTTTCTAACAATCACATTCAAACTGAAAGAGGAGAATTAAAACTAGTAGTGGTTTTTAATAATCTTATTGTTTGTTTGTTTGTTATGAATTTCAAGGAAAGCTACATGAGAGCTATCTGTGCTAGGCATCCCTAATTTAGCAGTGTAAGACTATAAGGAATGCAGCTAATCATCACCACCCACTGCCAACTCTTGGACTACTATTTTACCAACGAAAAGTGAGATTGACCATCACATTATAGCACCCTCATGGCTGAAAGGGTGAGCATGTTTGGTGCGACAGAGACTCAAATCCACGACCTGCACATTGAGTTGAGCACCCTAACCACCTGGCCATGCTGGGGCTAAATCAAAACATATATACAAATCTGTACCAGTATTCACCATAATTCCAGATCCAGGCAGTACTGGAGAAGCTTATATTTCTCTCAATGTATCTGTTTTAGGATTTTATTGTTTTCAATAAAGAACAAGAAGATGTTATATGACATTTTCAAAGTCATAGCCATGACAAATGTACCAATGTCATCACATAACAGTGATGTGCCTATGCCAATAATACTAATACTGGCTGAATATCTATATATACAGAACTTAATAAGAAATGTAAGGGTATTTTGGGGTGATTTTTTTCAAATCGGAGATACTTTAAAGGGACTGCCAGCAGGAATTAGGAATGTATGGTCATCACCTTGTATTTACATCGTTGAAAAAGCTAGCAGAATCAGTACAAGCCCAAGACTGAATAGAATTTGAGACAAGTAACACGAATACAATGTTTTTAAATTAGCATAAACAATCATGTTTTTTGAAATTCCAACTCTTAAGCTTCGTAGGCCTATAATATATCAGATTCAGTTCTCAGTACTACTAATTCTTTTTGGTTTATATCAATGACATAAATTACTTAAATTTTCAGATGATATTAAGGTCTTGGGTGTTGCTAGCTGTGAAAAGGATGCTGTTGATTTACAAAAGGATTTAGATCATTTAGTGAGTTGGGCAAATAAATGGCAAATGAGTTTTAATTATAATAAATGCAAGATAATGCACCTGATGATGATAAAACCTTGTCGAAACGCTGTACATTTGCTGTTATGTTAAAGTTATATTATGTTATATTAAAGTTTTTCTTCATTACCCATTCAAGCCATCTCCAGCCATAATCATATTAAAAATGTTGGACTAAGTTATAACATACTATGCTTCCCTCAAATTCAAAACTTTAATTCTGGCCAAATAACAATGCCTTTTTATTTTTTAAATTATACAAATATCTACTATCTAGCCTAAAACAAGTGACAAAAGTTCACAAAAATGCCATAACCTGAATTTTGATTCATAATTAAAAACATGGTATATTACTGGTATTACATAGCTCAATATAAATAACAACAAAAGAAGATTTAAGTATCAAATCCTTTGAGTTTGAGTGGCATTGATAATGACATTTGTTTTTTAATATTTACATTAGATATTTTTGTAGTGTTCATAGAAATATGCAAGGGAAATAACGGTCATCGGCGTTCGTACCAAGTTTAGTACTATAACTTATAAGTATAACACTATTAACAGTGTTAATTCTATCCTGCTCAGGCCCCCCCTACTTTTTTATTTTGACGAATCTCAAATACTATTGCTAGCATGTCAAAAAATGAGACTGTAGTAATACTAATAGTATAGGCTTATGTATGTAACACTACTACTTATTAGAAAAGGATTAAAACTATTAGTAATACTGTTTCTTAACTAGTATTAGTAAATAGCTTTACTAGTACTACGTGTAACGGCTATTTTATTTGTGTGTTTACAACATAAATATATTTCTAACCCAGTAGTTATAGTTATACTAACATTCTTTGCGTAGTATTCATAATAACGATGAGTTCTTTTAGGATTTCTGATGACACAGCCTTTCCTTTAGTTTCCTTGTTACTTGCTGAAGACATGCTTATTTTAAGTTTAATAATAACACTAACATGAAATTAAACACCCTAACATTAGATTCACAATTTCAAACAAAATTACCCGCCAAACTTTATCTTCAGACATATACCCATACGGCAATTTATTATCACAGCTAACAGCAAAAGGGGAAAGTTTAGGCAGATACTAGGAATGGGCGAAAGCGAATAAAATATTCGTATATTTAATTTATATTACGAATATTCGAATAAAAAGTTGTATTTGCAATCGAATACGAATAATAGTTTTCGCACGAAAAAAGTCAAAAGGCTAAAGAGAAAATAACTCGACTTATTCGATATTTTGTCTTGATTTATTTTTTGTTTCCCGGGCTTCAGTTATTTAATAGACCTGTATCAGTAGACCTAATAAAAGAAAAATATTTAACGTATTGACCAATCCTTGTATAGTTTTACATGTTATTAATTTACCTACGTTGTAAGTCTTAAAAAGAAAACTATTTGATATTACAATATTCTTTCAATTATTTAAACTCATTGGATGTTCTGTTTCTCGAGTCTGCCGTAACGTGCTTCTAATTATGTTTAGAATAGCTAGACATACTTCCGCAGGGTCTCCAAAAGTGTTCTGTTTCAAGAGTAAATAAAATCAAAATTATGAGTAACAGATATTCTAATTTCTTGCTTTTGAAGTTCATATGTCATGCTGTGTTGTAGCCTACAGGGTGTATAATTCTTCTCCTGATTCATGGCATGTGCAAGTTTTACTGACGTCACGATAGTACAAATTGCAACATCAAGCGTCCCTTATATAACGTCATTTTGTTGTGTATACTGACTGACTTAATGACAGACAACACACTACTGTATGATGGTGTGAATGTTTAAAACAGGTGATCCCTCTAAGCGGCCTTCTGCCCCCTTTCGGGGAAATTATTGTCTAACAATCAAAGTAGCAGGGCTAAACAAGTTTTTTGGCGCGTAAAGAATCACTTCAGCATGAAAATATCAGAAAAGATGTAAAATATGCTAAATTATGCTTGCGATTTTCAAGAAATAGAATAGTGTATAATAATAGTATTAAGAATTAAGAATGTGTTGTTTATTAAACATATTAGGCCTAACACCAATATCTTATGACAGATATAATTAATAAAACTGTTTAACATTACAATATTCGTTAAAGTATTGGACTGATTGTGATGTTATATTTCTCAAGTCTGCCGTAACGTGCTTTTAACAATTAATACTAGAAATACGCGACCTTTTAACACCAAAATGTTGTTTTTATTTAATTTAACACTCAATGTTTCGCTTTACAGCTTCTTCAGGAGCGTTCACTAAAACACAAACCGAAACTGGCAGTACAAAGCTTCAGAGCTTTATTTTCTTTTGATTTGTATCATTTATATTTGTCCCCATTTCAAATGCAAACATTTTCAGAGAAAGCATGCCACCTGTCCCGAAACCCCTTAGTTTCAACTTCTGATAAACTTGACTTTGAAGCTTTGTACTGTCAGTTTCGGTATGTGTTTTAGTGAACGGTCCTGAAAAATCTGTAAAGCGAAACGGTGAGTGTTTAATTAAATATAAACAACATTTTGGTGTTATAAGAACGTTTATTTATAGTATAAATATGTGTTCTATACACCAATATCCACTACAGAAATTAAATAATGTGCTTTTAACAATTAAAAAAGAAAAATGACGTTTCGAGCTAGCGCTCTTTGTCAGATCATACAGCTTATATGTAAACTGTGCGAACTGACGAAGAGCGCTAGCTCGAAACGTCATTCTCCTTTTGATAAACAAAAAAAATTGGCGATTGTTCAACCTATTATTTAATATGTAAGCCTTTCATGGAAAGTCTCTAAAAGAAAACATCCGACCGAGTATCGTGAGGTACCCC